TTGTAGCTTCATTAATTTTCCTCTTTTAAGTGTAGATGTCTCCCAAAAGGTCAGTACCAGTGAAGGGCAAATAAACATCTGATGAATTGAATGCTACAGAAAATGGCATCCATCTATTAATATTATGGTATTAATACATGACTTTGAAGTTCTCACACATCATGGCATGTGTTTAAACGTAAAAAAGTATAGCTTCTGTTTGCAGTGAACACTCTTAAAAATTGTCTCTTGCAGATGTAGGCCAAGACTTTGAGTTGATTTGATTGATTTTGAAAACATAACCAGTTTCTGTTGTTACAGATACTGAAAATCGAACTTTTGTTTAATTTTATTTTTTAGATTGTCTCTGAGAAAGCAGTATTGAAACACTGACTTACAAAATTGATTGGGGTCACTATAGTTTCAACCACTAAAATATTGCCCAGAGTGAAAAACTACATTTGCAGTGTCTTCCATGTGAGCTGTGTTTTAGTCTACAGGAATCTTTGTTTTAATCATCAGTAACAAACCTTAACTCTTTATAACTGCTCTTTTAAGCCAGACTTCTGTAGAAAATTAGATGATACCTATAAGCTCTCAGTATTTATCCACTGATAGTATCTTACTTAACATCTGGCTTTACTAAGTAAGTACTGCTTACTTAACAACAGGCTCGGGAAGCTGTGGAAATGCGTGCTCAAGTAGAGAGAAAGATGGCTCAAAAAGAAAAGGAGAAACATGAAGAAAAACTTAGAGAAATGGCCCAGAAAGCCAGGGAGAGAAGAGCTGGGATCAAAACCCATGTGGAAAAAGGTATGACGGTCTCATTACTGAGTTGAATTTACTTTGTGAACAATATATATCTTATTTTGAAAATCTGAATTGTTTTTACTGTAAAAACAAGCAAAAGTAGTACATACATATACAGAGAATGTAGATACTTCAGAAATAATGTAGAATTGAAAGTAATTTCTGCCATATTAAACTGAAGCAGTAGAAAATGAAGACTGTATAGTTAAATATGGACCTTAATTATGGGGCTACACTGGAAGTTTTTAAAGTTCAAAAATTATGTATTACTTAAATGATAGGATTGATTTTCTCATATTTTAATTTTCTTGGAACTTAGAAAGAGAAAGGAGATCTCTAGCTGAATAATTTAGCATCCCCACATGTAAAATAACCAAGTTTTTCTGTCTTGTAGGCTAACATGCCTCTAATCATTAAGTCTGCCAATATTTTCTCTCTGGGTTTATTTAGTGGTCTACTTTGGTATATTAATTCAGTTAGAATGAGAAGACTAATTCTAATTCAGGAAAATTGTCAGGGTGATTTTCGTTTCTTTAATAAATCCTAGACTAGTGCAATTAATTATCCATTTCATTGAGTATCTACTATGTGCAAGGTTCCCTTCTAGACACAAGGTTTTCTGTTAGACACATGCTGGAAGGGTATAGCTCTAATGAGTGTTAGAAAGATTTAAAAAGTTAATCATGTAGTATATTAGAAGGTAATAATTGCTCTGGAGAAAATAATAAAACAGAGAAGGGGGCAAAAGTACCAAAAGGAGGAAGTGAAGAAAATAGGCCTCATTTCTGAGATGGTAACATTAGCACAAAAACTTGAAGGAAATAAGGAAGTATGAGCCGTGGATAATTGGGGGAAGATCACTCCAGAGAGAGAAGGAATAGCAAATACAAAGACCCTGAATCGGGTTCAGGGAAAAGCCAGGGAGGCCTGTATGGAGAGATTAGAGTAAGAAAGCTGAGTCCTAGGACATGAGTTGTCAAGAGTAGTTATGGCAAACAGATGAGTAGTTAAGACATTTTCTGAAATCAAAGTGCAGTTTTGTTGGAAAGAAAGTATGTGGCCTTTTAGCCATTTTAAGGACATGGCTTTTACTTCAAGTAACAAGGAAAGCAATTGAAGGGTTTTGAGCAGAGTGACATGATCTGACATACATTAGAAGGCTGTGGAATGGGCCTTTGGTGAAGCAGGGAAACCATTTGGAAGGTTACTGCAGTAATCCACATCAGAGCTGATAATGAGAGGTAGTGAAAACATGGTCAGATACTGGATGTATTTGGACATACATCCAGTAGCTGACAATATCTGCTTGGATTAGGTAGAAGTATAAGGGAAGAGGAGTCCAGGATGACTCCAGAACTTTTGACCTGAGCAGCTGGGAAAGATTGAGTTGCCACTTACTAACGTTGGGAGTGCTGCACAGGGAAGAGATTTGAGAGGAAAAGATTAGGAATTTAGTTGTGGACATGTTAAGTTTAAGATGGAGGTGTCAAGCAGGCAGTTGGTTGTAGGGGTCTAGAAGATGCAACTGTAAGGAAGTTACCAGGATTTTAAGTAGTGATCCACTTCCTTGAATCTTATTTGAATGACTTGATGACGCAAAATATAAAAACTTGCCTGTAGCACAAAAACTTGAAGGACATTTCAAAGTAAGTTAAAGACATCAGTACAGTTTACCCCAAACACTTCAGCTGCATGCATGATTTCGGAATTTACATTCAAATATGAAACCATGTAATAATTGCTCTGGAGAAAATAATAAAACAGAGAAGGGGGCAAAAGTACCAAAAGGAGGAAGTGAAGAAAATAGGCCTCATTTCTGAGATGGTAACATTAGCACAAAAACTTGAAGGAAATAAGGAAGTATGAGCCGTGGATAATTGGGGGAAGATCACTCCAGAGAGAGAAGGAATAGCAAATACAAAGACCCTGAATCGGGTTCAGGGAAAAGCCAGGGAGGCCTGTATGGAGAGATTAGAGTAAGAAAGCTGAGTCCTAGGACATGAGTTGTCAAGAGTAGTTATGGCAAACAGATGAGTAGTTAAGACATTTTCTGAAATCAAAGTGCAGTTTTGTTGGAAAGAAAGTATGTGGCCTTTTAGCCATTTTAAGGACATGGCTTTTACTTCAAGTAACAAGGAAAGCAATTGAAGGGTTTTGAGCAGAGTGACATGATCTGACATACATTAGAAGGCTGTGGAATGGGCCTTTGGTGAAGCAGGGAAACCATTTGGAAGGTTACTGCAGTAATCCACATCAGAGCTGATAATGAGAGGTAGTGAAAACATGGTCAGATACTGGATGTATTTGGACATACATCCAGTAGCTGACAATATCTGCTTGGATTAGGTAGAAGTATAAGGGAAGAGGAGTCCAGGATGACTCCAGAACTTTTGACCTGAGCAGCTGGGAAAGATTGAGTTGCCACTTACTAACGTTGGGAGTGCTGCACAGGGAAGAGATTTGAGAGGAAAAGATTAGGAATTTAGTTGTGGACATGTTAAGTTTAAGATGGAGGTGTCAAGCAGGCAGTTGGTTGTAGGGGTCTAGAAGATGCAACTGTAAGGAAGTTACCAGGATTTTAAGTAGTGATCCACTTCCTTGAATCTTATTTGAATGACTTGATGACGCAAAATATAAAAACTTGCCTGTAGCACAAAAACTTGAAGGACATTTCAAAGTAAGTTAAAGACATCAGTACAGTTTACCCCAAACACTTCAGCTGCATGCATGATTTCGGAATTTACATTCAAATATGAAACCAATAAAGTTTCAAATTAATTGCAAGTAAGGTTAAAAGTAACTACAGTTAAAAGGGCTGAATGTGACTACAAAGAAGTTCATGAAATTTTCTGTGTATGGTTTAACTGATGTTCTCTTGTTCAAAATATTAATGGGTAATATAATGATGAAGTAATTTTCAACTCTGTCCACGTAGAGGATGGGGAGGCACGAGAGAGGGATGAAATCCGGCATGACAGACGAAAAGAGAGACAGCATGACCGGAATCTTTCCAGGGCAGCCCCTGATAAAAGGTAGGTGCTATTTGAGATAAATACAAAATTATAAAGAGTGGTCTTTATGAACCTTTTAGCGAGGTGGTTTAGTCTCCTAAGATGAGTTTTGCTCTTCTTCCTTTCTAGTTTGATAACTTTATAAATCAGCACTTATTTTCTTGCACTCAACTACTTTTTCTTAGCAGAATAATTGACTATCCCTGGAAGTAATTTTTTTCTTCAATCACCCTGTAGAGTCAGGTAGAATTGAGAATAATGAAAATGTAGAAAAGGGAAATCAGATCATGTTTGTGAAAAGAAAATGCATAGGACTGTTCTGCTTGTTCTTTTCCAATTTCAAATGATGAGCCAAATTTATTATGTGCCTGTCCCTTTAGGCAGGAAATATGCTGCTTTACTTTTATTGAGATCCTTTTACATGCAGAATACTGTACTGAGTACAGTGTGGGGGAAGAGCAGGTTTTCTAAGAAGTGAAAATTGGCCTCTTCTGTGAGCATTTTCACTTAAATTTAGAAAGACAGCTATCATAAAATTATTTGGAAAATTGACTAAGCAGTATTAGTACAAATTTGTATAGAACAAACAAGTTGCATGTATGGGGCTTGGAATAAAAGAGGGATTAGTGAAGTTTGTGGTTTACCAAAGGCTGAAGACTGAAATTGCAAAAAAGTAGAGGAAATGCAGTAATACAGAGGTAGAATTCTGAGGGAGGGTTAAATGCAAATATAAAATGTGTTATTTCCAAATAAGCAATTTCGCATGCTTTCATCATTGTATCAGCTGATACAATGTGTTTTTTTCAAATCATATCTTAAACATGAAAAAGAATGTTCCTTCTGGTGGTGGTCTTTCTTGTTTAATGGCATATTTCATCTCCCTGGGGAAGTGAGTCAGGGAGAGGCAGAAAATCTGAATTTAGAGTCGTGGGTAAATGTACAGTTTAGGAGAGAGAGGAATGAAATGTGAAAGTGTGCAGTTAAGTGACACTTTGGTCTGAAATTCCTAAGCTGTAAAAATCAACATGACTCTGCAGATAAATTGGGCCCATAAAACCAGTGAAGTGGCTATGAAAAATGTAACAGAAAAGCTGTAGAATTCTGATTGGATGAAAATCAGATTATCTGTAGGAAACAAAGACCTGAGCTTCTAAAATAAATGATGACAGTTACCATGGTTTCATTGCAATGTAGATTGCATGCATACTGAAGCAGCAGGGGAATTAAATTAATCTGAATGTTGAAAATCATTGACATGTTTTCCTCAGATTCTAATAGGATAAAATTTCTAAGTGTGGTGAAGTACAAGAACTGATTCTAGTTTATTGAAAACAGTTCATGTGATACATCTAGTTTGCATCCAGTACCCCTCCCAACCTTCATATAATAATAGCAAATATAGATCATACCAATTTCATATTTCAGCCTGCATTGTAAGATGTTGCTTGTATTAAAAACTTTCACGTCAAGAATGAATGAGTCTCTCAGCAATTCTTTCCAGCTAACAGGAAGGCCTAATTGTAAAACCCTACCTCTTCTAATAATCATGTATCTGAAATGCTGTGAGGGCTGCCAACTGATTATGCATTATCAGTTCAGAAGATGTGAACAAGACATACTCATTTCCTTTGCTTCTGAGATTGGTTGTTTTTAAATTGAGATTCAACTTGTCTGTGAAGTTTTCAGTTAGTGGCATTATATTTCAAAACAGGTCCAAACTGCAGAGAAATGAAAATCGGGATATCAGTGAAGTCATTGCCCTTGGTGTACCCAATCCTCGGACTTCCAATGAAGTTCAGTATGACCAAAGGCTCTTCAACCAATCCAAGGTACAGGGAACTTAGAGCATATCCTAAGTGTTAATATGAGTACTGACCCTTGGGGAAAAGGAAGTTAACATATTAAAGATTTGAGTCAGCTAAGGCTAGCATGATGACAAAAAATAGAAGCTGCATGTTATAACTGAAAAGACAAGATGAAATAGCTCTGATGTTGACCTCTTACAGTTGGCTAAGATTTGAGATACTCGTAGAAAATGAAAGAAATCAGGTGATAAAAGTTTGGTTCTGGTATATTAAGTTTTTATTTCTAAAATAGAGTATGATAATAGTGTCCTATGAACATATTTCTTGGGTTATTGTTCATTGATCTTTGAAAAAAAATGTTAATGCTATTGAAACACATAAACTTGGGATCTTTGAAAAACGAAGCTCTAAGACTAAAGTACTAGATTACTTAGTAGGAAACCTGGTTTCTAGTACCAGTTATTATTAACTAGTTAGGACACATTAGGCCTGAAGAAGTACCCAGATTGATTATTTACTGTACATAAGTCCGTGAGATCAAAGATAGGTGCACCTTTGCCCTCAAGGATCCCTCTAGTCTACTAAGAAAGACACATTTGCATGTATATAAATAAAAACAAAGCTGACTGTAGTAAGAACATAAAGGTATGAAGTCCTTCTGGGATATAAGGGGGAAAAGGGAATTATGACCCGGAGGTTTTAAGATTTGAAGGCAGCATTTGAGTTCTGTTTAATACGTTATTGAGTGCTTTTTATATTTCTGGCATTTTTCTAAGTCTTTTTATTTGTATTATCTCAATCCTAACAAAAACACTATGGTCATCCTGTTACAACCTCTATTTACAGAAGAAATTGAGACACAGAGGTTTAGCTAGTAACTGTTGGAAATAAAATGAAAACGTTGGCTGTCCTGATTCTTAACACACTATGCAGTGGCAATAAACTTTTGCCCAAGCAGAGGTATTTAGGCATGAAAGTTCCACATAATATTTATGACAGTCACTCTTAGAAGCTTAAGCTTAAATCATTTAGTTGTGATGAAAATATTTCTAAAAAAGCACATCCCTTTATTAATGAACCACCCAAATATATGAGATAAGTGTAAAGTTTTCATTAAGAACCTTATTGTCTCATGCTGTAATAGTGACGTTCTTAAGCAGTTAGGGGGTATAACATTGTTACTCTAAATGGCATTAGATAAATGCTTTAAGATTCTTTCATCTTCTTGCCATTATATCTGTACAAATTGAAATTGTCAAGTACTTGCTTATACTAGTCCCCAATTTTAATGACTTTACTAGAGTAGCCAGATCTTTAAAGTTTATAGACTTGGTGAGTTTTTTAAGGAAGATTTTTTTTTTTTTTTCAGAGAAATGAAAATCGGGATATCAGTGAAGTCATTGCCCTTGGTGTACCCAATCCTCGGACTTCCAATGAAGTTCAGTATGACCAAAGGCTCTTCAACCAATCCAAGGTACAGGGAACTTAGAGCATATCCTAAGTGTTAATATGAGTACTGACCCTTGGGGAAAAGGAAGTTAACATATTAAAGATTTGAGTCAGCTAAGGCTAGCATGATGACAAAAAATAGAAGCTGCATGTTATAACTGAAAAGACAAGATGAAATAGCTCTGATGTTGACCTCTTACAGTTGGCTAAGATTTGAGATACTCGTAGAAAATGAAAGAAATCAGGTGATAAAAGTTTGGTTCTGGTATATTAAGTTTTTATTTCTAAAATAGAGTATGATAATAGTGTCCTATGAACATATTTCTTGGGTTATTGTTCATTGATCTTTGAAAAAAAATGTTAATGCTATTGAAACACATAAACTTGGGATCTTTGAAAAACGAAGCTCTAAGACTAAAGTACTAGATTACTTAGTAGGAAACCTGGTTTCTAGTACCAGTTATTATTAACTAGTTAGGACACATTAGGCCTGAAGAAGTACCCAGATTGATTATTTACTGTACATAAGTCCGTGAGATCAAAGATAGGTGCACCTTTGCCCTCAAGGATCCCTCTAGTCTACTAAGAAAGACACATTTGCATGTATATAAATAAAAACAAAGCTGACTGTAGTAAGAACATAAAGGTATGAAGTCCTTCTGGGATATAAGGGGGAAAAGGGAATTATGACCCGGAGGTTTTAAGATTTGAAGGCAGCATTTGAGTTCTGTTTAATACGTTATTGAGTGCTTTTTATATTTCTGGCATTTTTCTAAGTCTTTTTATTTGTATTATCTCAATCCTAACAAAAACACTATGGTCATCCTGTTACAACCTCTATTTACAGAAGAAATTGAGACACAGAGGTTTAGCTAGTAACTGTTGGAAATAAAATGAAAACGTTGGCTGTCCTGATTCTTAACACACTATGCAGTGGCAATAAACTTTTGCCCAAGCAGAGGTATTTAGGCATGAAAGTTCCACATAATATTTATGACAGTCACTCTTAGAAGCTTAAGCTTAAATCATTTAGTTGTGATGAAAATATTTCTAAAAAAGCACATCCCTTTATTAATGAACCACCCAAATATATGAGATAAGTGTAAAGTTTTCATTAAGAACCTTATTGTCTCATGCTGTAATAGTGACGTTCTTAAGCAGTTAGGGGGTATAACATTGTTACTCTAAATGGCATTAGATAAATGCTTTAAGATTCTTTCATCTTCTTGCCATTATATCTGTACAAATTGAAATTGTCAAGTACTTGCTTATACTAGTCCCCAATTTTAATGACTTTACTAGAGTAGCCAGATCTTTAAAGTTTATAGACTTGGTGAGTTTTTTAAGGAAGATTTTTTTTTTTTTTTAGGTATTGTTGAAATACAATTTTATGTTGGTTTCAAATGCACAACAGTGTTACCCACCTTATCAAATCTTCACGTCCTCTTGTGTGGTTACTATCTATCAATGTAGAAAGATGTTACAAACTCATTAACTATATTCTCCATGCTCTACCACCATCCCAGTAAACAACTTGATGTTGTAATTGGGAATTATTGTGCCTCTTAATCCCCTTCACCCACCCCAACCCCTCCCCTTGGTAATTACTAGTCCCTTCTCAGTATCTATGAGTCTACTATTTTGTTCCTTCTGTTTTGCCTTTTTTATACTCCACAGTAAGTGAAATCATGTGTTTGTCTTTCTCTGCCTGACTTATTTCAGAGCATACCACCCTCTAGATCCATCCATGTTGTTGTAAATAGATCTTTTTTTATGACTGAATAAATATTCCATTCCGTATATGTACCAGAATTCTTTATCCTTTTATCCATCGATGGACACTTAGGTTGTTTTCCTATCTTGGCTATTGCAAATAGTACAGCGATAAACATAGGGGTGCATGTCTTTGCAAATCAGGGATCTTGTTTGGGTAAATTCCTTGGAGTAGAATTACTGGGTCAAATGGTATTTAATGAAGATTTTTAATTTGTAGTTCAGATTGTTGAAAATGTGAGCTGTAAATGAGCAAGGGTTTACTTTTCACATGAATGTAATCAGATTCAACTTTTAATAAATAATACATATTTATTTAATATCCTGTTTTTCCACAGGGTATGGACAGTGGTTTTGCAGGTGGAGAAGATGAAATTTACAATGTTTATGATCAAGCCTGGAGAGGCAGTAAAGATATGGCCCAGAATATTTACAGGCCCAGTAAAAATCTGGACAAGGACATGTATGGTGATGACCTAGAAGCTAGAATAAAGACCAACAGGTACCAGGTCACACAGCTGTTTCAGTGTTTGCACCAGTGAAGACCAGGTATTTCATAGTCCGTTTCTTTTTCCCTAGATTTGTTCCCGATAAGGAGTTTTCTGGTTCAGACCGTAGGCAAAGAGGCCGAGAAGGACCAGTTCAGTTTGAGGAAGATCCTTTTGGTTTGGACAAGTTTTTGGAAGAAGCCAAACAGCATGGTGGCTCTAAAAGACCCTCAGATAGCAGCCGCCCCAAGGAACATGAGCACGAAGGCAAGAAGAGGAGGAAGGAGTAGATACATCTCTCTCTTCATAGTGAATGAACTACTCTCTAATGATGCAAGTCATGTGGGGGAACATTTTGTAAATGGTCAGGATAAAAACCAAAATCTGGGTGTTAGACCCCAGGCACTACTTTTTATTACGGGAGATGGGGGGATGGAGAATTCTTTGAACTATTTAGTTTTTTCTAAAGAGTGGGTTGTGTTTATGCTTCTCCCACCTTTTGGCATTTATAGAACATACCTACCCCACAAATGAAATTAAGACCACTTCCTTTTGTGTGATATTAGCACTTTGGGGTTAATATTTTGTGTACGAACAACTGCTTAAGACTGAAGTTTCCCCAGTCACAGTGAATAGGATGTTCACATACTGGAACTGTCCTGCCAAATGATGTTTGCCCCTACTGTGTGGTTTTAATTTGGAGTGGGGAAAGTAAGCTCTTGCTTGGTGCAACTATTTGTTTTCAAATAAAAACATTTAGACATAATATTCAGTTTTGTTTATTTAATAGGCAATAATCTTAAAAATCTTTCTCTTCATCACATGTTTGATCCTCTTGCAAAATTCTTGGTTTTTGAGCTTGAACATGGAGCTGGAAAAAAAAAACAACACTATAAGGAAAGGCAGTGTCTGTAAAAACAGTCAAACTGAAAATCGCCACTTTAAGACAGCCTTTTTATTAGGGAGTCAGCATCAATAAGTCGAGAGAATATTATTTGTTCCTCGTTAAGAGAGTCCCTGAACCTGTTAAAAATTGTAAATCAGTGTGACCCAAGGTCACATAGTAAGTGGAAAAGCCAGGATTTCAACCCCAGGTGTCCTGACTTGTAAGTAGACTGCTACTCCCACTGTTCCATGTTGCATATACCGTGCTAATCAGTAGTCTTCCTGGACTTCCCTCCCCAGACCTCTTAGAACTGGACATTCTACCACCCCCACCATTCTTTAGCAAACATTAAAGCAACTTCAGTTACAAACTTCCTGAAGTCCTTGTCATTCCACACTTCTGAAAGCTCATGATACATAGGAAAGTATTACCTTTACTCCATCGATAATGTGATTTTCATGTTGTAGTACATTCTGAAGTTCTTCTTCTGAAGAAAACTGAACCCAACCCATACCTCTGTGAAAGCCAGTCTCTTTGTCCTAAAAACTCAAAATTTAAGAAAGATTAACCATGAACCTGAGGAAGTTTACATGATCTCCAAATCAAACAATCAGTGTTTTTATCTGTCAAAATGGGAGAGCAGACATTTTAATATGTCATCCTCCTAGATACCCAAAGCAAGCTTAATCCCTTCTTAACATTCTGCTTTTCTGCTGCCATTGGAGAATGAAAATACAGGTAAAATGCCTTCTGTGTCATTCTAGATGCAAATCACACCAATACAGCAGTCAAGATAAATTTTGATCACATAAAGAAGTGTTTGTTTCTAACTTGCTCACTTCTAAAAAGTAGGATATTGTGTCAAACCTAATTGCATTTCTGAGACAAATCACCCTCATCACTACCACTACTATTATCACATGCGCCTGATGAAAAATAGGAAGAAAGAAAATTCAACCCTTATTTATCTAGTTCCAGACTGGTTAATTTAAACAATTTTGCCACCTCCCTTATGCAAAACACAAGTGCTTATAATTCAACTTATGCATCAGCTCATGCAGACTCTGGTGTGCTTGGACTCACCCTGACCCACATCCCCACTAGCCCTACTACATAAAGGACAGATAACAAAGACTGATTCAGTGTACACCATCCTCAGTCCTTTTCACAAGGTTATATGCTTCTTTCCCCCCAAAAAAATTCTTATAAATTGCCCTGTACTTCCAAGGTAACTGTAATTATTAACCTAGAACACAGGAAAGTTTCTGGTAATGTCCCAGTGGTTTACTGCTCCTTACCTCAGATAGATACGACCACTTCTAAAGCACTCTCCTCTATCTCCAAATGACTGAGATTTTTTTTAAATGCTCTTCAAAAAAATACAAATTTCATACTGACTAGTTTTTAAGCTTACAGGTAGAGTTTCAAGTCTGTATTACATATGCCTTATTCTTTTAATCAACTATATAAAATTACATTGTATCAGTGAATTAATTTCTATTAAAATCATTCTCACTGATAAACGTTTAGATTGTTTCCAGCAATATTAAAAAATGCTGCATTGAACATTCTTGACAAAAAAAGTTCTATAAACTAAATCCCTAAAAATGCAATTGCTGGAAGAAAGGAAATACAAATTCTTAACTTTGACAATTTGGCCAAACTTCTCTCCCAAAATGAATATACCAGTTAAACTTAACAACAATTTGCCAGTTTTCCTACATCTCTACTAGCAATAGATAATGAGTAATGTGTTAGGTCTTTGGAAGGCAACTAACAAACATTAAACCAACAATTAAGAATTTACTTTAGGTTGATATTTTATCACAGCCTTTTTAGTGCCAGAGGAAAAAGAGAAGTTTTAGTAAAGCACGTGTAATCACATCACACCCCCCCCCGCTCCACCTCCCCCAAAAAAAACAGTAATTCTAAAAAGCTCAAAGAAAAACACAGCCCAGGATAAAGTAGAACAAATTTATTTCCACACCCTTGTAAGACAGCAAAGGAAATATAATAAATATAAAAACACTTAAAAAAAAAGTACTCAAAGATAGAGGTTAAAAAAATTCTCCAATTAGTTTTGTAAAAGTATCCTAAATCCTTATAGTAATAGATATTACATAGTAGGCAGAATTCTAAGATGCCCCCATGACCTCCACATGTCCTGCCATGTTACCCAGTGTTAATTCTCTCCCCTTGAGAGTGGGGGCAAGACCTGTGACATGCTTCCAACCAAGAGAATATGGTAAAAGTGGAATGTTACTCCCCTGAGAAGTTTCATGGCAAGGGTGATGGGTGTCACTCCCATGACTACATTATAAGGCTACTTTAGCAGACTGGAAAAAGAGAGACTCACCTGCTGACTCTGAAAAAGCAAGCTACCATATTGGAAGAAAGCCTATAGAGAAGCTAGGTAACAAAGAACTGCAGGCGCTCCTAGGATCTGAGAGCAGCTTCAGCTGAAAGCTAGCAATAAAGCAGGTATCTCAGCCCTACAGTTGAAAGAATAATTCTGCCAACAACCTGAGGGAGCATGGAGATCACTCTCCCAGTTGAGCGTCTGATGATACCACAGCCCCAAGTGACACTTAGATTGCAGCTATGTGAGACCCTGAGAAAAGGACCCAAGAAAGGTTGTGCCCATACTCCTAATCTGAAGAAACTATGAGATAATATATGTAGTTTTGAGTCATTAAGTCAGCAGTAATTTGTCATGCAACAATAAAAAGCACAAATACCTACTATAAGGTTTTTTTACTTTCTAATCAGTATTATCTGTAACTTTATCAATAAAGACTGAACAGTTCACTCCATTCAAAATTCATACAACTTGATACACTTTTAACAAAAATCAAGAATTAGATGGTAACATTAACACTTGTTTTAAAAGATAATACTCACAAAAGGTACACTGCACTTTCGTATTTGGCCAAATTGTGCAAAGTGCTCTCTCAGCTCATCTGTGTAGCAGAGGAGAAAACATATTAAAGGTAGTTAACAAATTTTGTATCCTCTGTCCTAGATGGTAGGTAGAAACCAAAAGGGGTCCTACAGTCCCTACACTTCCTATAAAACAGAAGCTACTTTGATTCCTTGAAGCCTTAAGATTTAGGAAGCAGCAATAGTACTAAATACATATTGGTTTATGATGGGGTTGCATTCTGATAAACACATAAGCTGAAAAATACTGTAAATCAAAAATGCACTGAATACACCTAATCTACTGAACATATCATAGCTTAGCCTAGCCCATCTTAACCATACTCACAACACATTGGCCTATAGTTAGGCAAAATCACCTACCACAAAACCTATTTTATAACAAAGTACTGAACTTCTCATGCAATTCATTGAAAACTATACTGAAAATGAAAAACATAGTAACTGTATGGATAGAAAATGGTTGTTAGCATTATAGGTGGTTTACCCTCATGATCAGGTGCCTGACTGGGAGCTCTGGTTCAATGCTGCTGCCCAATATCAAGAGAGAATAGTACTGCATATTATTAACCCGGGAAAAGATCAAAATTCAAAATCTGAAGTAAGGCTTCTACTGAATTCCTGTCACTTTCACAGCACCATAAAGTCAAAAATCATTTGTTGAACCATTCTGTATAAAGGGATCGTCTGTATAAAGTTGTAATAGACCAGATTTGGGGAGGTGATGGGGTTTTTATCTGACATGGACAGATAAATTTTGGAACCTACTGTGGTCTTCATCCCCAGCAAACAGTGTCTTTCACAAAGTACTGTGCTAGGTGCATGAATTATAATCCCTGTGAAGTCACACAGAAGATAGGGGAACAATAACAAAGTATGTTGCTAGCTATATTAGAGATTTCCAAATAAAATCTCAGTTTGCTTGCCTTTCATAATTTAAAGTTTACACTAAGTTAAATAGTTGATACTCTAAAACTACCCTTCCTGCCTTATTTCCCACTGCTGGCCCATAGTTACTCTCTAGTAAAAATTAAACTCTGTGTACACACCCATCCTGTAAATTCCCATCTTGCATACTGTTCTTTCCCCTTGATATGTCAATAATCCTATCTCCTCCTGCCTACGCTGTAATTGCTCTTCAAGACCCAGGCCAAATGCATCCACTGAATATTATTTTATTAGGATCCTACTGCAATACAACACAATGTATTAGCCCTGTGAGGCCTCAAGGATGAATAATCTTAAAGATAAACTCTTATGTGATCTTTTTCTTCTAAACTATATGTGGGAAAGTTAGGGTTCCTATGGCCAGGATCCTCACTGAACTTAAACCAACTAATGATGTAACTGGTCTGTTGCTGGGCTGCCGCTTCCACACCTGTACGCAATAAGCTATTACTGCGCTACAGAGCTCAGCCCAGAACTCTGGGCAGAGGCAGAGACACTAGTGCTGGACCCACCACCGTAGAACAAGCCAGGTAATAAACCTTTTCACCCCAAGTAACGTTTTGCTGTCAATTCGTCTGGTCACACTGAATCCATAGCAAACTTGTCCGGGGCTGAAAACCCATTGGCAAGACACTACAGTTCCTGTCTTTTGCTAATTGACACCTGCTTATTTCCCCTAATTCATCTAAACCTCACTGGTTCAACAGCTGCCTATATTTGTTGGTTTAAAGTCTCCTCACCCCCAGCTGCCTATATTTGTTGGTTTAAAGTCTCCTCACCCCCCACCACTACACCATAAGCTCCCCAAGTATTGAGTTCGCTGTGGCCACAGTGCCTGATACACAGGAGAGTAGTATCTGCTGAATGAATAAATGTCTAGTAATCCTTCAACAACTCACAGGAACTAAATTTCTGAAGAATTCTAGCCTAGGCTTCTATGAGCTTGTTTCAATAATCATGAAAATAATTATTTATTGAGGTACTTACTCTGCAGCTAGCACAAGTCTAAGGAGTTTACACGTAAACTCGTTTAATCCAAATCAACAATCCTATGAGGAAGCTAATATTGACTCCATTTTATAGGTGATGAAACTAGGGTACAGTGGTGAACCTTCTCCTCAAATTACCTTGTAAGTAAATTTACACAACTATTAAATGGCCCAGTTGGAATTCCAACTCAGGCAGTATGACTTCAGTGTGCACTCCTCAATGATACACAATAGTACTCTACTTAACCAGAGGGAGACCTCACACGCTTCTCAAATTCAACACATTTAAACTTGATTCCTCATCTTCTTTCCATCCACTTCTACATTCCAACCACGAAATTCTCCAATGCCAAAAACCTGTTAGTCATTCCTCCCTGTCCTCATTCCCTACTCTTCCCCCATTCAAATCATCACGAAAAGCTGTTGATTGTTGTGTTAACATAGATAGATCAGACCACCACCTCTACCACTACCCAGTTCAGGTCCTCATCTTTAAATTACTGAAACTACCTTTTTTTAGTTCATCTCCTCCCCTCCAATCTTGACACTTTGGATCCATCCTCAACACTGCACTCAAAATCCCTTCGAAGTCGTAAATCTTGGTTTTCAAGTAAAAAAAAAAACTCTCCACGGAACCACTCCAAAAAGCAAGAGACCGTACGCACGCGCCCCAAAGGCTTAAGGTATATCCCTAAACGGATAATTGCAAACAAACAGATTTCTGCTCACTGGCTTGCTTGGGAACAAACTCACTCAGCCTCCTGGAAATCCAGCCACCACGCTGATTTAAGTGCTCCACAGAAAGTGGAGCTTTTGAGGATCGGTTGGACCTAAATATTCCGTCCCTGATACATCTCCATCACTCACTGGAGGCCACGGTCCAGGGAATTTTTCTGACAAAAGCAACAGGCTTGCCAACAACTGTACGCAGCGCGACAGAGGTCCTCATTGCCGAAGCCGCCATCTTTGGACAGAAGAATGACCGCGACCTACAGTCGTGACCCCGGAAGAACCTGTAGGATCCGGGACACGGGAATCTGCTTCCGGATCAGAGGAGGCCTGCGCGCAAGATGAAGAAAATGGCAGTGGTCGTGGGTTCCGTTGCGACCCTGGCGGTGGAGCCTGGGGAGGACGCCTTTCGGAAGCTTTTCCGCTTCTACCGACAAAGCCGTCCCGGGACCGCAGACCTGGGAGGGGTCATTGACTTCTCGGAGACCCACGCAGCCCGCGGCACGGCGCCTGATGCCCACAAGGTACGGAGAGAGGAAGGGCGCCCGCGCGCCTCAGGTCGCCTCGTCTCGCTTCGCGGAGAGGCCGCACCTCTTTTCGCTTTCAGACTGTTGCTGAGCGGTCTCTGCTCCCCACGGGCGCTGAGATAAACCCTCTATCTCCAGCCTAGGCCTCTAGACAAAGCGTCACGTTTTGGCGATGAAGAGCTTTGCTGCCCGTTTCTCCAAACGCGGCCGTACCTGAGGCTCGATCAAAAAAGCCTGGGAGTTGATGTTTATTTTTTCTACTAACTGACCATTTGCTTTTCTACTTTGATTTGTGTAAAAACCCGTAAACCGTGTTGTTAAAGGTTAGGGTAGCGCTCTGCAGCATGAAAAAAAACTATCCAAGTAATACCAAAACAGAGGGATCGATGTGATTAAGTCGATGTGCGTTGGTTCCTTGCGTCTCTTAGGCTTTTGAAAAGAGGGTATGATTTCTGAGATAATCCCTCCGTATTGAAAGTAAGGACAAACGACTGCAAGGATCATCTGTTATTTCTACCTTTCCCCTTGGAAATTAGGTAACATAAAGGGGACACAGGGAGAATCCCAGTTGTACTGTAAGGTATATTTTCTTTACAATTGCTGAGAATATCTGTAATGTGTTGTCTTACAGGTAACCGAATGAGGCATTCTTTCCAAGCTTAGTAATAGCTTGGACAGAAGGATGTCCGCGACCTACAGTCGTGACCCTGGAAGAACCTGTAGCATCCCAAATTTATTGTTTCTCAATAAAATTGGGATGCTGTAATAGCACAGTATTTGTTTAGAACTCAGTATCTTTGAAACTTCATTTGTTGGCAGAAAGGCCCCTGGAGTTGTCAAAATAACAAAGTCTGCACCCCAAAAATAATATACTTGACTCATGGAGAGCATCTCAGACTTTCACTCACCTCCTTTTACCCACATTTTACCATAATACTTTACATGCTTTTAGAGTGTAGTCCACCTGAGAAAGGAACATTTTTCTAGTATACTGCTTTAAACAGTAAGCAATAAATACACTATCTAGAGTACATAAAAACTTGGATATTTAGTTTCCCAGCTCAAAACATTGGAAGTAGCTAATTAGAAAAGCAAATTGCCATTACAAGACACTTGATGAGAGTGGTAGAGAAAGTGATGGTTAGCAATCTGGCAAGGGAGGAAGCAGAAGAACTTTTTTGAAAAGCTCAGAGGTTGTTTAACTTATCATATGAGAGAATAGGACTATAAACTTCATTTCTGTGAGTGTGGCTGAAATACAGTGGAGTATTAAAAATAGCCTAATTAAGAAATCATTACAAAATGTTTAAAATGAAAACATTTATCGGCCCCTGTGTACCTGGAAGAGTTAACTAGTCACAACTCAGAGTCCTAGATAGCCATTTATTATAGAAGCCAGTCCTACACCAGCCACTTGTTGGTATTTTGTCTATAAATCTCTATGCTTGCTGAATAGGATAAGAGATTAGATCTCTTGGAAAGAGAACATTTGATGTGTTATAAGGCAAGCCAGATCCTAAGTTCATTGTTCAAAGTAAAGTTTTCAATGTTCTTACTTTAGTGACTGCATGTTGGGTCTCTTAACCAATTTAGTGAGCCATCCATAAGATGCTCTTACATTCAAAGAAAATCTCATGAGCCACTGAGAAATTAATTTCTAAGTAATTAACAAAAGGCCAAAAGCTCTGAGTTTCAGATTAAAGTTTCATTTAAAAAAGAACAAATACCCTTTAGCAAACAGGGTTCTCAGTGTTTTATTGAAACATTTCTTTTCTGGATAGAGCACTTTTTTTCCACTCTCTCACCCTTCCCAGTCTCATGTTCCTTATAGCTCTGTTTAAACATCAACTGGATCCAAGTGCCTCAGAAACATTGTTGTTAGCCCTTACCAAAGTAAACAGCATTGTAACTCAATATTCCAATACACGAAACACCATTTATGATTCAGAGTCCTTTAAGAAGTCATAAAGGAGTGATATCCTAGGAAAAGATAGTCTTCAGGCCAAAATCAGCCCACTTCTCATTACTACTTACCTTAATTTTACATAGGTCTCTAGTATTTGCTAGTAACCTGATGAGGAAACTTAGAATCTAAGAAGTGACTTAAGGCTTACATCAATCAAGTGGCAGAACTAAGTTTAGGACCCCAGACTTCTGACTGTAACTTTGTCCCATACCAGAAATGTCTTTAGAGGTTTGAGGTTCTCAAGAGTTGACCTACAAAATAGTTCTAGCCCTCTGACTGTTTTCTTGCTGTTAGGTGGTCAGATCTCAGCTAAGTGTGTCTGCAGTCAGTGACCGTGATGCCTATAGAGCAGGACTTCAGCCAGTCAGCAAGTGGCGAGCCTATGGACTTGAAGGCTATCCTGGTGAGTGCAGCTGACCTTAGAAGGCAAAATTACTCATCATTTATCTAATTTCAGAGAAGGAGCTATAAGCAAGTTAATAGACTAAGAAAAAAACAAAACACAGAAATGTTTCACTCCCAAAACCCCCCTAAATTCTGCCTTTTCTAAGATTTCCATTTCAGCATAACCAAGAAATAGAACAGGAGTCGTTAGTACCTGCCTTATATTGCGGAAAGTGACAGACTAGGCCATTTACAAAACTTGTTACTATCATCAAGGCTGAACACTTGAAAAACTTATAGTTAAAGAGATCAAAGTCCTAATAGACTAAGAATCTAGAATTTGAATTTTAGTAATGTTAGATAGCTCATATTACAGACAAAGATAATGATAAGTCTGTAATGTTACTAACCTTTCTTCTAGGATCAAGGACCACTATAGATTAAATATTAGGAATAATCAGAAAATACGGGAATGCCTTACTTGGCCAAATCTTATGTCTTGCCATCCTGTTTCTTTCTCGAGAACATAAAGTTAACATTGTAGTTGTGATTTCAAATATCTATTAAAAGCAAGAAAAATCCCCAGAAAGAAATAGTACTGTCATTGTGCCAAGGGCCTGGTCTCTGTTATAGCTCTTAGTACCTTATGACCACTGAAGTATTTGTTAACGTGAGAAGGTGTAACAGCTTTAAGGCTTCCTACAAAAGGCTTCTTGCACTTTAGTTCTGTATGTATTAAACAATACTGAGGTCACAAAGGAAATAGTCCAGTGATGGCTTTTATATATGAAAGCACTGTCCCCATGAATGTGGGTAAGTGAGGAGCATGCATCACTGGCAGTCTTTCACACACTTTTTGTTCTTGAAAGCTGCCCTTTACTTTTCAGGCCTAACTCCTGTTTCCAAAGCCATGTTTCTCTGTTGCTGTGCCTTCTGCCCTTAACAGATTGTTCAGACTGCCAAGTTTTCAACCCCTCTTTGGTTTTGTACTGTCCAGAATGGTATACTTTTTGAGGTTTTGTAGGATTTCACACTTAATCCATGTCCTTTGAGTTTGTACCTCATTATGTCTTTAGAGCCTTTATTCTATCTTCCTGAGATTGTGAGCTGCATTTAATATAAGTGTAATGTCTGAAACATGGGAGATGACAGTTTCCTTTTATTCTGAGTATATCAAGATTGTGTTTACTTCTGGAACTGGCTTATTCATAAGGAACCTGAGCACACCACAACCCATCCTTACAAGATTGAGCAGGAAGGTGATGACTAAGTCTGAGGAAGAAGATATTTGAGGAGGAGCATGATGGCATTAAACATTTAAAAAGCTGTCATACAAAAAAAAAAAAACTGTCATACACAACAAGAAGTGGGAAGCAGTGCATCCTAGTGGGTTAAGGTGTAGGTCCTAATGCCAGGATTCCTGGGTTCAGATCCTGGCTCTGCCATCTCCCACTATAAGACTTTGGAAAGTTTCTTAATCTCTCTTGGCCTTGGGTTCCCCATGTAAAATGTGTGTACAAATAGCATTCACTTCATAAGGTTATGATGAGGATTAAATGTGAGTATACATATAAAGTACTTAGGTCAGTGCCTGGCACAAAGTAAATACTTACAAATGTTAGCTATAAAGCTAGACGTTTTTATTGAGGGAAAAAAAAAACTGATTTGGGGGTGCTCTGTGTGTTAGAACCTAAGACCAAAGTGAAAATAAAGAGGCAAGTTTTAACTCAACAAAAAGAAGACAACAGTTGTCCTGAATGGACTGCCTAAAAAAAGTCTTACAATTTCCTGTCACTCTTCAGGCTTGGACTAATCAGCGGTATTCTTCCTATGATATTTTTGGAGGTATTATAATATTCTTTATTTTGTGAAATAATGGTGCTAGCAGAGTGATAAATTATTCGGGGTTTTTTCCCATATCTTTTTTTTTCTTTCTTATGCAGAAGTGGCCTCCACATTTATAAGCAAATGTTCTTTTATTTTAGAGGAAGAGGAGTTCCTTCAGTTCAAAGCCAGTGCCTTCACCTTTTGATCCTACCTTCTTTCACCTGTTCTAGCTTTCAGGATTTTGCTGTGTTCCTTTCTCTTTCAACCAGTTCCTCGCTGTGGTCTCTTTGCTCATAAACTAGAAGCATGCTTAGGTTTTTCCAAACCCTAAAAACCATGAAATAGCTCCTTGCTTCTTCATCCTTGTATGAAGCCTTTATTTCCTTTCATAGCCAAGCTTCTGAAAGACGTTATCTGTGTAATTGTCTCTACCATCCTATCTCTAGGTCCTTTATTAATGACAGTTTTTCTCCTCTCCATCTTTAGTTCTTAAGATAGTACATGGTGTGTGTTTGTTAAATGTTTGATGAATAAATCCTTACCATGCTTAGAAGTCCTGTTAAATATTGTAATTCTTCTTTTACAAAGGAGAAGAATAAGGTTAGATTAGTTTCATGGTCAGAAAGATCTTTTAGCATACATACTGTAGGTATTTTCATTATGCCACACTGAACAGATACATATACCATCTTCCCTGTTTTATGAGTCAGGCTTTAGGAAGCAGATATTATACCAGTTTTTTTTTTAATTCACACAAAGTTTAATCAGTCAAGTTAATGAAAACATCGAAGTTTTTCAGTTAGTGTATGGCAGCAGAAATTTGATTTTTGTTGCAAATAATACAACAAAAGTCAAATAATACAACAAAGTGTTTGGTGTTTCCATTATTGACAAACTATGCTACAGAAAGATCAGTTGCACTGAATCACAATTCATCAGGGTCACTTTCCATAAACTCCTTGCAAACTTCTATGGCATCCTCTAGTAATGTTTCATCAAGTTTCCCCATAGCTTATTGGAAATAGTTTCCATCCATCTAAGTCATAAAGATACCCATCTACATGAACTAATGCAGTAAAGTGAAGTTCTACTTATTCATCAATACTTGATGCCTCAGTCTGACCTTCTTGGGCACTGCTCTCATGAATAATTCAAATAACTTCATAGTTCTCCAGTATCCAGCTTGTTCAGGGTTCACTGACACAGACTCCTCCACAGAAACCTCCTTTTCAATGTTGATCCAGATTCAAAGTACATCATCTTTATTGTTGGCAATAGCATGGGTCATTCCACTTGTTCCACAGGCACTGGTGATGTTTGGCTTCATGAAATATACTGATGATGTGACACCTTGTCCCTGAGATTTTTTTTTTCCTCTTGTTTTAAATACGTTATACTTTTCTGTTATTGGGAACAGAAGTAACATTGCACATACTGGTTTTGAGTACTAAGGACGTCAGGATTCATTCCATATACATCAACAAACTGCCAGTTAGGATGTGAACCTAATTGTTTGAGAAACTGGTTGGTGACCTCAGAATTGGCCTCCAGCAGCAGCCAGCACTGGTCACTGACCTTCCAGGGCCGCCCTGTCGGCTCCTCTCCTGTACCAGCTGTCACGGCCACCGCTGCTGCTTCCACCCCTTACAACACCAGCTATTCTGAGACAGTTCTGTATAAAGAATCGTTAGCCAGATATCAGAAAACAGAAAAAGCAAAAAGTGAACACTGAGTCACGAAGGTAGTAACTGCAGGAAGCAGTTACCACCTCTATAAATGACAAGACCTGGTGGAAATTTCAGAGTGACCTTTGATGGTTTCTTTTCTAAAGTTTGCTCAGTAATGTTTGCTTTATAGTAGATCTCAGAAAATGTTGTGATAGGTGTTGAGCAAAATGCTGTGGGGGCCAGAAGAATATATAATTCTTCCAGGCAGGAAGGAGGTATCAAAGAAGGAAAAAAGATTCTTTTAATTAGGTCCATTATCCTTTTTTCTCCTCTGTCCATTTTGTGCTAGGTCATCAAAACTTATTAGAGGTTTGCCTTTTTCTTGTTGGAAAAACATGTCTTAGGTTCATGATTAAAATTAGCTTTTTATTAATTTGAAGGAACTCCTGTAAAACTGGAGGATAGGAATGAGAGCATTTGCTTGGAAGTGTGGAAATCACTTGAGGTATGAGTAAAGAGGATGGGGAGTAACTAACAAAGTAGTGACTATAAAGAGGTCAACAAAAATGAATTATCTGAATAACTGATGCAGCATTCCCTCCCCTTCTTGTTTCCCTGCCCTTTTATATAGGATTTATTTTTATACCAAACCCCTTTCTCCCCGGTTACCAGTGGCACTGGGTGAAGCAGTGCCTTAAGTTATATTCTCAGAAACCGAATGTGTGTAACCTGGACAAACACATGACTGAAGAAGAAACTCAAGATCTCTGGGAACAGAGCAAAGAGTTTCTGAGGTAAGTCATATCAGTCACAATAAAGGGTTAGTATTCAGCTGTGGTCATCACAGATCTTGAAAGGAACTACTGTATAGTAATGCAGTGAAAGTGACTGACCTGTTTGTTTTTCCTTCATTTCCACACAAGTACAGCAAGCACAATTATATTCTTTCCCCCAGGAACATATGGACAAATGCTTTAACAGTTATGTGAAATTGCAATCCATTTTAAAGATTTGCTTATCATAGCTTAGATAGTGACTTCATCCTCATTAATCATTAGATGACCCATTTTCATTCACCTTTAGCCCTTTTTTCTTTTTAAAATAAGTTCCTTTGAAGACTTGTGTTATACCAGAAAAAAGTGACACTGAAAGCTCTTTATTCTTACAGATGAAGTCATTGCTACTAGCCGTTTTTGATATTAGTTGTTCTTTATGAGAACTAATGTTTATACTTTAATGTTGTTTCAACATTCATTCATTCCACAAAAATGTTGTGTACCAGGCGATGGTAAGCATTGGAGATACAAAGATAAATAGGATGTCGTCCCTGCACTCAGAAATGCAGTCTATAGCAGGAACTAGGTATCAAAGGAATAATTATAATAGAGCCTCAGAAAGTGTTACAATAGGTGTTTAGAAAAGTGCTGTGAGAGCCAAAAAAAGAAAGACTTTTTCAGGACAGGAAGCAGGTGTGAAAAGGGAAAAAAGATTTCTTAGTTAGGTCCATTATCCTCTTTTTTTCTCTGTCCATTTGTGCTGGGTCTTCAGAAATGATTAGGAGTTTGCCTTTTCCTTGTTGGAAAAGCAAGAAGACTGCTTTGATTAGAGAAAGCAACCTGAGAAAGAGTTAATATTTAATAAGTTTTTATGTGAGATAGAAGCACAGGGTGTGTGCATTCATGTGTTTGTTCAACAAATGGCTGTTGAGTCCCACTGCATATCAGACACTGTGCTTGAGTGTTAGAGATTCAAAGACAGATAAGACACTCCTGCCTTCAAGGAATTTTGTAGGCTAGTCAAAAACAGATACATAATTAAATACAATTTGACAGGGATAAAGTTTATAAGGCATTACAGGAATGGTCCCTTAGGTGACTAAATTGGAGGTAGGTTATGCAAAATGCTTCCTAGAAGTCGTGGGTGGAATTGGTAAGAGATGAAGCAGGACAGGTAGGTCAGGGTCAGAGTGTAAAGAGTCAGTGATGTAGAGCATGGGTTCTAGAGTCAGCTTGCCTAGCTTCAAGTCCCAGCTCTGCCACTTACTAGCTCTGTGAATTGAGCAAGTTCTTAACCTTTCTATGCCTCATGGTAGTCCTTTCCTCATTTAATAGTGTGAGCTTGAACAAGATAAAATGTGAGAAATCCTTAAAACAGCCTGTGAAGACCATTATACCTACCGGCTTTGTCTGTTAAATTTGGACCTTAGTGACTCTGGTGATGCAGTTTTCAGAAATTGTCATGCTAATTCTACTAGGGAAAATAGAAGATTCTTAAGCTGAAAAGGGAAAGGAAAACTAAAATCCATTGGTTTTCCTTTAAAGCCGCCTTGTTTTGTAGGTTGCTGTAGGCAGGAGCAGTGAGGAAAGCCTTATTAAGCTTTCAGTAGTTTATTTAGAATTGAGAGCAAAGTAAAGGAAGATCATAGTTGAGTGAAAAATTAGTCAAAGAGAACTGTGTTTTTAAGTAATTGATTTTTTTCCTCATAGTTGTCATCTTCTAAGATAGCTCAGATGAATCTCTTTACTAAATCATCCTGTACACAATGGTGAGGTATACTTTTTTGTCTCATAAATAAACAAAAATTAAAAATGTGATGGTCATAACATCTGTTGTCAAGAGTTTGAAGAAAATGATATGCCCAGACATTGCTGGTGGCATTGAAAATAGATGACTGCCCTATTTCCCCTTCTGTGTCACTATGTGATATATGTTTCACTTTCCTCATCAGGGAAACAAAAGGATTAGACTGGATAAGCCATTACAAGATGCTTGAATCACGGTCAGAGTCACCCTGACAGTACATGCCAGATCTGCCATTTTCCCAGACATCATAAGATGATGTCCAGGAAGGTCTTAAATGCAGAACTTTCAGGTCCTCTTCCCATGGAATGAGGACATGTCACCTTCCCAGGAAGCTCTCCCAAGCCTTAGTGTTCAGAGCCTTTATTGGGGTTTCACTACTTGGGCATGATTGATTGAATCATTATCTGTATGACTGAACTCAATCTCTAGCCTCACACCTATATATCCCTAAGGTCTGGCTAATAACACTTGACGCAGAAAACCTCAACCCTCTAATCACATGCTTGGTCCTTGAAGCTTGACAAGCCCACATCCTGAGTCATCACCTTGGCATAAACCTCAGGTGTGGTCCTAGGGCCCACTGTGAGTAACAGATACTTCTTTCTCTCCTGGAAGTGCCAAGGATTCAAAAGCTCCCTCCCAAGAATCAGGAACAAAGCCCAGTCAAATTCTTTGTTATACAATCCCATTTCTTTTAGAATAAAATCGAGTCTTAACCATAGCCTGCAAGACCTGCATGATCTGGCCCCCAGCTACCTCTCTAACCTCATCTAAACTGCTTTCTATTTATCCTTTTTCAACCATCCTGACCTCCGTGCTATTCCTTTAAACATGTGAGACATGCTCAGATTCTATGTACAAGCTGTTCCTTCTAGTGAAAACCTCCTTCCTTAGACAACCAACGGCTTGCTTCCTTTAGGTCTTTGTGCTAATAATCATCTTATGAGACATGATTCCTTATCATTCAGTTAAAATTAGCCCCCAGTTTCCCCTCTTTATCCCCTTGACCTCCATTTTTATTCTAAAGTACCTGGTAGTTCCCAAATAAATATTTGTGAATTAATTAGTTAATAGGTACTTTTTGTAACTTGAACTTTGTGAATATATTATCTACTCAAAGGTAACTTTTTAAAGAACAGGACAAGGAAATACAAGTTTAAATAAAGCAACTTATGTATTTATTCCATAAATAGTTTATGAAATGCATTGTATTCATTTTTGCATATATGAAAGCTTTTTTCCATTGATAACTTCAATGTGGAAACAGAATTAATCCCTTCTCCTTTCTACTCCTTTTAGATTTTATGATGCTAGCATTTATGATAGTGAATCCAGTCATCTGACCAGTCTCCCTCCCATTGCCCACTGTGCCCCTGTCCCCACCCCCAGGCCTTGCAGTTTTTGCAGTCTTAAAGCCACCCATAGTTCTTTGTATATATTAGAATATGCTCAGGAAATACTACTTTAGTTAAATTAATAAAAGCATAGTGCTAAATTTGAGAAAGATGAATTAAAGACTGTAGCACTTTCTATCTTATCTTATTTTGATTAATTAAATAATGTACATTTGTATTTTAGGAAATATTTGGTGGTAGAACAGATAGTAAGATTAAAACTCAGTCCCTGCCTTTGAAGAAGGGACTATTAAAGTAGGAATGTGGGTACCTAGTGTAAGGAACTTACACCACCAAAGCCACATACTTGAATAAGGGAAGTGACAAGGTGCTGTGAGAACACAACTGGGACTAGGATTTTGAAGACATTTTTTTTATCATAAATAACCTCAGACTTTCTCTGTCCTGAGTATTTTTGCTTTCACAGTGATTCACTAATGTCCCTTGAGGCAAGAAAGAAAAGAAAATACCACTGCTTAGTTATGACACCCAAACTACCCAGCATAGGAGCTCATTTACACCTGGTAAGGGTTCAGCTGAAAACAGTGCTGTGGAACGTGATCGCTGAGAGAAATGCTAGCACTGAAAGAAAGCGCTTACCTGTGACAAGTGAGCGTACTGCCGTCTGGGCGCATTCCCCAGGGGAGAAGGTAGCCAGCTCGCCTGTGGTCGTCCTGTGAGTGCCTGGAGGAGCTCCGGGGCACAGAGCCTAGTGTGTTTCTGTTTGCAATGAGGAGCAGTATTTACGGTCCTTCCTACCTGCTTGAAAACATTCTTTTGGATAATTAGATAAAGATTTAAAGTTAGGTTAGGTGCCACATATTCCCTGCATTCCTTACAGTGGATATGGCAGCTCTGTTGGCACTGAGCCTTCTTGGCCTCTTTTTTGGACAAAATCAGGTTTAAAAAGAGAGAAGCCTGCCCCTTCATCAGTCCATCAGGATTTTCTACTTGGAAATGATCTGGGAATGTGTTAAGCTTGGTTTTGGCTTTACACTATTCACAATGCCCAAGAGTGAATTATTTGCAATCTTTACTACCCCAGAGGCCCGTGGGGACCAGATAATATCTTGGCAAGAGACATAAGTAGAATGGATCACCTCTGTAGGGTAGTTATTTTTCTGTCTCAAGACTACTAGCATGCTTTCCAGAGGGGAACATCAAGGAATTCATTTATTTGTACCTTTAGCTGGAGAAACATTGATAGAAATCATGTTGTGTTGATAACACATTGCATTTTTTTAAGTTTGTTTTGTTTTGTATTTTTACTTACACACAGAAAATTTAAGTAATGAATGGTGTTTATACATACTAACTGTTCACATCAGCTAGTTGTAGTCACTGGCTAAGCCTATGTATATATTTCCCCTAAATTGGTAATAGTTATCTGTCTCTTATGCCAGGAATCCACAGGACCATACCCAAGTTCATTGGTACACCAGGAGGACTCACAGGATTCAGCATATAGATGTACTCATGAATAAGATTTATTATAGTAAAGGAATACAAAACAAAATTGGTGAAGGAAAAAAGTACATTGAGCAAAGTTCAGAGAAAACCAGGCTCAAGCTTCCAGACGGCTCTCCAAGATGTGCTTAATTCCCCCAGCAGTGAGTTTTGATAACATGCAAAGTGTTGTCTACCAGAGAAGCTCAGTGCCCAGGTTTTTCCTGGGGGTTGTCACATAAGTAGTCTCGCCCGACATGTCCCGAAATTCTAAACTCCCACAAGGAAAACAGGTGTTAACATAAACCCATACTGTTGTACAGGCACTAAGCACAGTGAACTACAATTCTGGGAATGGTGTGAACCGTCCCAAAATCCAAGTTCCAGTTGCCTGCCAAGGGCCAGCCTTGTAAGCAGACTTTTCAAAGGATAACAGATCTGCTAGGCCTCTTTGCTGCACAGCTATCCTAAATAAATGAGTGTTGATTCCATTCCTTGTAGCTACTGCTCTTGATGTATGTATGTGTCACGATGTCCTTAGAATGTAAACTGCATGAGGACAGATAACGTCTGTTCTGTAAAGTCTTTGTCAAACATCAAGATGAGTACCACTTACAGTGTGAGTCTCTAATAGCAAATCCTTTGCTTCTGCTCATGCTGTACGCCAGCGTGGCGTACTGCATCACTCCCTGTTTAAATGCTGGTCATTCTTCAGTGCCATGCTCAGCTCCCAACTCTGCCATGAAGCCCTAAGTGATTAGACAACTGACTTTGAGCTTTCCTCTTCTTAATTCTGGTGGCTGTCAATCTTGGGCTCTTCAGTTTAGTACTAGATTTTATGCTGCCTTGAATTTTCCCCTCATTTTTCTAATACTAACCTGTCATCTCCTGTCAGAATATAAACTCTTTAAAGCAGTCAAACAACGTATGGTGTTTAGTTCTTGGACAAAGAACAATTTTATTATTTATGTAAGTTACACAGAATATACTAAATAGAATAATTAAGACTAGCATTCTTGTATTTAGAAATTTAGAGGTAAATCAGACAAGCTTCCTCTTTAGAAAAGAGTAGTTAACCTGTAGATTTTGATCAGGTAAGATTTAATTGCAGAAGAGGCACGTCTCTGTTTTACAGAAACCTGTGTTTTGAACAAGGGGATGTCAGAAACCAGATCAATTACAGTGGTCCTTAATCGTTAGCTAAGCCTCAATTATCTAAGCTTTGTTACACAGGGTTAAAGAAGTCATGTTAGACCAGTAATTTTTTATGGTATACTACATTTTGCTGACAACCTGCAATTCTGGGAAGCTACCATCATTATAGACATAGTGATAGTTGTGATTAATCACACCCCACTTTTAGCAAACCAAATTAAATGTGTTCTGTTAGCCAAATTTTCAATTAGCCACAGTGCCCATGGTCCCATTTCCCATGGATAGGTAAAGACATTTATGATGTCATTTTTGTTTTATCAGTGATGCTAGAGATTTGCCATTTATATTGATCACAATCAGCAGAAGATTTAGAACCAAAGACTAGAAATTAGAAATGCTACCATGTAGCAGACCAAAAAGGCATCCTACAGTATGGGAGAATATATTTGTAAATGACATATCTGACAAGGGGTTAACATCCAAAATATATAAAGAACTCACATGCCTCAACACCCAAAAAGCAAATAACCCTATTAAAAAATGGGTGGAGGATATGAACAGACACTTCTCCAAAGAAGAAATTCAGATGGCCCACAGGCATATGAAAAGATGCTCCACATTGCTAATTATCAGGGAAATGCAAATTGAAACAACAGTAAGATAACACCTCACACCAGTTAGGATAGCCAACATAGAAAAGACTAAGAACAACAAATGCTGGCAAGGCTGTGGAGAAAGGGGAACCCTCCTACACTGCTGGTAGGAATGTAAACTAGTTCAACCATTGTGGAAACCAACATGGAGGTTCCTCAAAAAAACTAAAAATAGAAATACCATTTGACCCAGGAACTCCACTCCTAGGAATTTACCCAAAGAAAACTTCTCAGATTCAAAAAGACATGCTCCCCTATGTTTATTGTAGCACTACTTACATTAGCCAAGATATGGAAGCAACCTGAGTGTCCATCAGTAGATGAATGGATACCAAGATGTGGTACAGATATACAATGGAATACTATTCAGCCATAAGAAAGAAAAAAAATCCTACCATTTGCAACAACATGGATGGAGCTAGAGGGTATTATGCTCAGTGAAATAAGTCAGGCAGAGAAAGACAAGTACTAAATGATTTCCCTCATTTGTGGAGTATAACAAAGAAGCAAAACTGAAGGAACAAAATAGCAGCAAACTCACAGACTCCAAGGGACTAGTGGTTACCAAGGGGAGGGGGAGGGAAGTTGGAGGGGGAGGGAGAGAGAAGGGGATTGTGGGGTATCATGATTGGTACACATGGTGTGTGTGGGATCATGGGAAGACTAGCTCAGAGAAGACAAACAGGGACTCTGTGGCATCTTATGCACTGATGGACAGTGACTGCAATGGGGTATAGGGGAGACTCAACAATAAGGGTGAATGTAATAACCACTTTGTTTTTCTTGTGAAACCTTCATAAGAGTGTATATCAGTGATACCTTAATTCAAAAAATGCTAACATGTTTTTTAGTATATTCTTAGTCAACTCATTTATCTGTTCTCATTAACCCCTGTCAAGATCTTGGCTGACAACTTACACCATGGAACCATATTTAGACTCCATGGTCTGTACAAAGGGCCACTGCTGCCATTTAAGATAAATAAGTCCTCTTTTGTCTCCAATCATTACAGGTGTAAGGAAGTGAATAAACGGAGACCCCGAAGTTTACTAGAGAAACTGCGCTGGGTGACCCTAGGCTACCATTATAACTGGGATAGTAAGGTATTCAAATTTTCCTGCTAGTTTCATTGTTTCCCTTGTTTTTGTTTCTTGGGCCCATTATGTGATTTCTTCCTGTCCAAGCTTAAAGTAACAGACTATCCATTTGTGGGAGGATCTGTTTCATTAACCTCCCAAAGTCCTCTTGATAAATTATCTCAAAAGGAATGAATAATTTATCAAGAGAAAATTTCTTCATATGCCCTCAGGTTGTATTATTTCAGCAGAGATCAGTGCTTTCTCTAAACAGGTTTCAGGGATACAAATTTTTCTTTACTGCATTTAAGAGCAGCTCTCAATTACAATCCTTTTTTCTGTTATTGTTTAATGTTGCCAAGAATTTATTTTCTACAAAGTATCTGCTTGGAGTAAAAGATGCTCCATATACTTCTGGTCTCCATCAACTCACAAAAGAACTTTCAAGATCTAGATACTTTTGCCTGCTACATAAGATCTGAGCAGGAGATATGGGAAGGAAGGGCCTGCATGTAACAGAGTTCCATGTTTTCTTGAGGTATAGTTTCTTCTTTCCTGACCTCTGTGTTTCAGAAAATGCCTCCTTTATCGCTGACAGAGAAGTCTCTTGTCTCACTGAGATGTTCACACCAAGTGGAAGGACTAATTTTAAGAGTAAACTGAATAAAACAGATTGGTATAGACCAAAAGTAAAAAACCAGTTACTTTTTTAAAGTTCCCTGGTTCCATGAACCCAGCTTATTAACAGATATATTAATTGTTATATATTAACTGGTCAACATAATGGTAAATGTTGCTCAAAAATATTCATAATATAATGATATCATGAATATAATTCTTATTTTCAGTGATACAGATTTAATGGAAAACCAGATATATATGTATCTGGGGAAATGCCATGTGATGTTCTTTGGGTTAGACAGCCTAGGTTTGAAGCCTGCTTTCAGTAAGGATAGGACCTACCTCATAAGGTAGCTGTGAGAATTAAATGATGAATGCCTACATAGTGATGACAGCAGTGTCTAGGTCTTCTAAGTGCTTATGTGCATTAACACAGTAAATGTTAGCTTATTTTTTATATTACCATTTTTATTGCTGATACTATTAGGATTATTGTTATTACTATATTATAAGGTCCTCGAAGTAATCCTCATTTACTAAAGAGAATTGGAGTGAAAATTATCAAAAACTCTGAATTGAGTAATCAGAGACAAGGATAGTGCACACAGTTCGGATAGGGCTAAAAGCCCAAAAGTAATTATTTCATTACAGCAGTAGCGACCTAATGCTACAATAGCAGCTCTTCTGAAAAACTAAAACTTAAAATGGTTGAGAAATCTTTGAAGTTGTCTCACTACACCCTTAGCTTTGAGAAATTAAATTAAAACTCTTATATTTGCAGTTCAGGAACAGGAGAAGAAAAAAAATAAAGACTAAAACTGAAAAGGCTTGGCCAGACATCAAAGACTTTAGAAAAGTCTTCCTTAACCTCAAGTGAAAGCTCACTTCTAGCCAAAGTAGATACATTCTCTCCAGAGCTATGGATCTGTTGCTCCAGCTAGAATACATTTTTAGGACACCAGCGGAGATAAGAGACACAAATGAATTTCCAATCAGATTTGAGGTCGGTGGAGCAAAGGGAGACGTGAGAGGGGCATCAAGAGTGTCAGGCTGCTGCCGCTTACATGGCCACGGAGCCCTCAAACTCACCAGCACTGGCGATGGCTGCCTTGTCACTCTCAGGGATTGTATAGTTTTTGTAGAGAGATTCTGGCCTTTTGCGAGTTGGGTTTTGGGGTGTTTTTTTGGGGGGGCATTGTAGAGGGGCGTTTGAAGATTTTGGAGGTTTTTTTAGAACAAATATTTGTGATCCCTAGGTGCTAAAAATAGAGGCACTTCTGGGAGGTAAGTGTTGAAAATCACTTGTATTTTAAAGTCCTGCCTTGATGCACAGTGTCAGTCAGTTTGATGTTTTGAGTATGTCATACCATCAGATTCACCAGTGAAATCAACACTAAGCATGTTGCAGGGTTGAAAGCCCCAAAACCAAACTGGCTAAAATATTTGAGTGGCCTTTTTTTTTTAATACTTTGCATTCTAAGATAGTATTATTAAATCTACAGAAAAGTTGAAAATACAGAGACTTCCCATATACCCTATAACCAATTCTCTTTACTGTTAACATCTTACATTAATTAATATGGTACCTTTGTCTCAATTAGTAAACTAATAGCAATATGTTATTGTATAATGAGGTTCATACTTGATTCACATTTCCTTAGTTTTAATTATGTCCTTTTTCTGTGCCATGATCCCATCCACTATGCCAGTTACATTTAGTTGTCATGTTCCCTTAGGAATCTCTTGGCAGTAGCAGTTTTGAGTTGCCTTTTCAGCTTAAGAGAACTATCCTGTTGGGGATTAAAGTATACTAGAGAGAGGTGTGGTAATTGCTTCATGTGTAGACTCCAGGGTGAATTGGTCTAATTTATATAAATCATAGCACAGTGCCTACCATATAATCAGTGCCCAGTATCTTGAATAGCTCATCATTAGATTACTAAACGCCTTAAAAATGGATGGATAAATCATGCTATGTTAATATTACATGTAAGTTAGATGATTTTAAAGTGGTGATTGATTTTATGCCACAGCTTTCTGTTTTCCTGAGGTCACTGTTTATTTTTCTTATTTTCCCTACTTTTATCAAAGAAATACTCAGCAGATCATTATACACCTTTCCCTTCTGACCTGGCTTTCCTCTCAGAGCAAGTAGCTGCAGCCTGTGGATTTCAGAGTTTCCGAGCCGAAGCAGGTATCCTGAATTACTACCGATTGGACTCCACACTGGGAATTCATGTAGACAAATCTGAACTAGATTACTCCAAACCCCTGTTGTCATTCAGGTAAGTTAGTTTAGGGATTTGGAATTTTTGTCACTTTATCCTTTTTTCTAACACATTTTTAAGCTAATAAATAAATACATAAAGATTTACAAAATAGTTGAACTCTAATCTTTTACTTCCGGGCATCTTAACAACGTATCATAAGTAAAATTAGCCAAGGCCTCTAAGAATAATGACCAAATTACAGTAAATACTTCTGTTTAAGACTCATGGAGTCTGCCTTTTGTAATGACAGGTATTGTCAGTGTCTGTAGAACAGACAGGTGGAAAGCCGTAAGGCAGAGTGAGCAAGCAATCTTTTGGACTAGAGAAGAGCAAAGCTAAAAGCTGGAATAGTTTGCTCTCCTTGTCTCCCTGAACATAAGTTTAAATTTGTGCAAACTACTACACGTGTATCTCACAAAGAAAGTACCTGAAGAGAATCTTTTGTTAATTGCCCTGTCTTTAAAATGATCAGGAATGATACATACCATAAAGGACTCAAATAATTTCATTGGAAGGCTTAAATCGTAAATGCATCAATAATGTGTATATGGGTAATATTAAAACTAAGTTTTTAATTTGAGTATTAAATTACTTCATATTTTCCAGCAGTCCTGTGGGCTGTCATAAATTTAAGTAGCAGATTATGGATTGGTCACTCATAGACACAGCCAAAAAAGAAGGATCTTAGCTCAGTTGAAAAAGGAGGATTTGGTAGCAATATGTATTGAGCTAAAGTTAGAAAATAATGCCATTAACAGTAACTTCCCTACCATGGTTGCTAACAGAAACTATTGTTCATTGTTTTACTTGTGTTTTTGTAGTTTCGGCCAATCGGCCATCTTTCTCTTGGGTGGCCTCAAAAGAGATGAAGCTCCAACAGCCATGTTCATGCACAGTGGTGACATAATGGTAATGTCAGGTTTCAGCCGTCTGCTGAACCATGCAGTTCCAAAGGTTCTTCCAAGCCCCTGGGGGGAAAGCCTGCCTTGCTGCCTAGAGACACCTCTACCAGCTGACCTTCCCAGAGACTCAGTGGCAGAGCCCTGTTCAGTGGAGGACTGGCAGGTGTGCACCAGCTACTTGAAAACTGCTCGTGTTAACATGACCGTCCGACAGGTACTGGCCACAGACCAGGAATTCCCTCTGGAACCTGTGGAGGAGAATAAAAGAGACGCCAGTACAGAAGGTTTCTGCCATCTGGATGATGAGAAGAGCCAAGTAAAACGAGCTAGGTTAACCCCTGACAGCTGAGACTAGGAGAACCAGTTCTTTTACTCAAGCAGGTCTTACAGTAAACGACCATTATGTTTTGTATTGCCGTAGACTTTAGCACCAAGACAAGCCAAAAACAGGCAGGGAAAATCATCATTGATCACACTGTTGCCTTGGAACCCATCCTGAGGAGTAAACTGATTGACCAGTTTGTTCAGGGAAGTGTTTGATATGGTCCAGTCCTAGGTAGGTGTTGGCACCAATGGGAGAAGTCCAAGGAAGTATGACCTTCCACAACTGCCTTCTCAGCCTCAGCCATTACCTCTGAAGGAAGTAGAAGTGAGTTGCCGTATCTATGGAGTCTTTAAATACCTCAAATTTTATTAATGGGAAACATTATATAATACTCTCCCACCACCCCGTCTAGTGATCTGTGGTAAAATTGTGGTTCCATGAACCAACCGTGAGTCTCTCACCTTCGTAAATCTTCCAGTCAACATCAGATTCTGTGATCTTCTCTTCCATCTTTTCTGGCCTTGCTAGAGGACTTCTGCACACATTCAGACAGTGGGACTGGAAGTGCCATACCCTGGAAGAGAAGTTACAGCTTTCTCAGCTAAAAGGTAAATCTGTGTAAACGCGAGGAAAGGGGAGCAGTGGATTCGCCAGATGTCTCTCGGTCTCTAACATCTTCTTCCTCTTGGCTTTTTAGTGCAATATTAATTTTAAGTCCCAAGGGTGTTATATAACTGTTTTCTCCATGAATAAACTTAATCTATTTTAAATTAAAGATCCGTATCTGTTTTCAAAGGTTAGTGTATCATGGATTAGTTCTTTTCCTGTTATTCCTTGCAGTATTTACTGTTTGTGCTACTGGGGCCCCTGGCTGTTTCTGCCCTGCACCATCCTGCTCTGCCCCAAGTATTCTTTGTGCTGTCTCACCGATGAGAATATTCCTTGCTATTTCTGTCACAGCTGTCTTTTTTGATTGGAGACAGCTTGGAAAATGGATGAAGCACCAAATTTTAATCTTTGCACCCCCACCAACTCAACTCGGTCTACCCTGAGTTGGTTATTTTACACTTCACTGGGCCTGGTTCCTCATTCATAAAATGAAGATAATATTTACTACCATCTTTCTAGAGGGATATTAATATTTCAAATGATACTGAGAATTTAGTGCTCCTTTCTAAAAACATGATGTGCCAATATTTTATTCCTCTGTGGGCTCTTAGAACATCCCAGCTTGTTTGTGTGGGTGACTGGCTGGAAGCCACCTTGATGCCTGCTGCTTGCAGCATGACTTGCTGAATTTGCATTTCTCCTTGGTCTTGCCTTTTTGTTTCTTAAGAGCATTGACTATTGTGTTCATAACATAATCCTTTATAGGTTTTTTAATGTAATAAAAATTAATAGATTCATCCCTTGTGTGTAACCGAATTTTTTAATTAGTGCATGATAGGAAAATGTCATATAATTAAAATTACTGCTGGAAAAGAATCCCTTAAATTTTCCACAATATACATTATATGTGACCCACTGGAAACCAGCATACTGTTTTGTAAATCTAATGGGTCAGCTTATCCTTCAGCATTAGATTGCTGTTCATTCAATGGAGTATCAGAAAAAAGTGTTGGCTTGTGTTTAGGAGCAGTGTTGTACAAAAATAACATTTTCCAACTGTAAACTCACACTCCATGAAGCAAGATCCTATGAGGAGCATGTGGAAACTGAGGCCGGGTAGCAGATTCCCCTCTCCCAGCCCAGGCTCGCTGTGCAGATGTGCTTGAGTGGGATGGTGAGCAGAATTGTTTGCACAATTAAATTCTCTGTGTGTGTGTCTCTTTCTTCCATTTATTTTTGTGAATCACATAGAGTTGAAGGTGTATATAATGCATTCTACTTTGACAATACACAGAAAACTGTACAATTAAGGAAAAAGTAAAAATTGGAGATTTTTCTACATTTACCTGAGGATGATCCCCTAGGTTTCAGTTGTCTACCAAACATTTTCTAAGTCAGGGTCAGCAAACTATGACCCACCTCCTGTTTTTGTACTACCCACCAACTTAAAAAATGACAACCATTTTTTAAATGGTTTGGGGAAGAGGGGAAACAAAAGAATAATATTTTGTGACACATGAAAATTATATGAAATATAAAATTCTGTATTATAAATAAAGTTTTATTGGAACACAACCACATTAATTTACAGATTATCTGTGGTTGCTTTCATGCTAAAATGACAAGAGTTTAATAATTGAAGCAGAGACCATATAGACTAATAAACCCTAAAAGATACGACCTGGCCTTTTATAAAAAAAAACTTTTGCCAATACCTGGGAAGGAAAATTAGACCCCTAGAAAGGAACCTGAAGCCAGAAGTAACCAAGGGGATGATTGTCTTATTTTCTTCATTATTTTATGTCAAAAACACCAAGTAGATATTCACTGTTATCTAGGACGTAATGTGGTGTCAAGAGTGGAGTCACAAATGTTAGGCCTGGGGAAATTGGTGCTCTAATACTCTGCTAGTGGGAATTTAAATTGCTGTAGCCTCTAAGGTAGTGTTTAGCATCACATAATGTGTAATTCTATATCCCGGTTTGGCCAGGACAGTCCTGAATTATGCCCCCTTTTCCTCTCAGAAGTGATCTCGCTTGATGATAAATTATATGGTCATCCTAATTGTTTTAAAATGTACCATTTAATCCAATAAATTTCACGTCTAAGAGTTGCATCTAAGGAAATAGAGCTGTCCCCAAGATTTTTGTGTACAAATGTCATAATAGTCAAAGTTTGAAATGAGTTCAATATCCAGCAACAGGTAGTTGGTTGATTAAATTCATGTATTCATTTGATTAAGTGGTTATTAAACACTGTTCTGAGTTAACAGGCACTGTTTTTTGCACAAAGTACCTGCCTCCGTGTCACTTACTAGCCTAGTGGATATGGCATTACTACACAGAAAACTAGCCACTAAGTTTTGGAAGAACAGATACAGGAGACATTATTATGCTGTTATTTGTCAGAAAATCCAATTATGGAACTGCATAGTAGCCTTTTATAGAATGCTTACATGTTTGTTTAAAAACAATGGGTATGTAAAGCAAAATGTGAACGGAGGTGAAATTATAGTTGATGTTGGTTTTATTTGTGCCTTTCTACATTTCTGATTATTCCATTGAAAATCTTTGGAATCGATTTCTTTTAAGGGGGAAATACTCTGGTAATTCTGCCTCTACCTGAAATTTGTTAGAATGCAAATCTAAGAACATCAACATTGTCCTAACAAAAGGGGCTTGACAGACTTATTTCATGTAATAAGATACTACACAGCCACTATCAATCGTGTTTTAGAGAGAGATTTATAATTGAAGGAAATGCTCAATATGTTAACTGAGCAAAACCATTTAATATATTTGACCAGTGTGTTTTGTATGCAGTGTGTACACACACAGAAAAGGCTAAAGGGGAATAATCTTATCTCTTCCAAATTCTTTGTAGCCAGTATAAATTGCTGTTTGGAAGAAGGCCTTTGTGCTGCTTTTTAAAGGGGTCAGGTGAGGCACACCCTACACCTCCCATCAGCAGCATTGTAAAGTGTCCACTCACCTTTGCAAATGTGCACCCTCATTAGCTGCATTCCAGTCTGGGCCCTTTCAGTCTCTGACAATCTTGCTTTTAAAGTCTGGCTGAGATGGACCCTCTCAGTACTCTCTGCTGCTTATTTCAGTAGCACCTCTGCGTGTTTCCTGCACCCCCACATCAGGTTTCTCCTAGAAGGATCCCAGGCCCACAGTGAAGACAGATGTCGGCTGAACAGGACAGACTCGGCAAGACTTGGTTTGCCATGTTTTAATTTCCCCAATTACTTTTCCACTAAAATAAGCTGGTCTTTTCTCTTTTAATCTGAAAGGTTGGTTTATTAGAGTAGGAAAAAAAAGCTCTACTGCCCTAGGTGGATTCGATTAAGGCAAATTAGAATGGTGATGAGGTGGAAAGGAGGGGAATGATTATTAATCTCAGCATGGTGGGGCTGTGGGCTAGGCAGGAAAGCTGCCTCTCCTGTTTTCTCCTGTTTCAAAGGCTACAGTGCAAAAAAGCAATGCAAATCTAGTTTCTTAGCCTGGGTAGTAAATTTTCATTGACACTTCTTTTGATCAACTAGCCCATCCAAATTTGAGCCCTTATGGAGATGAGTTTGTTGGCTCTCAATTACTTTTATTGGTAAAACAGATTTAATAAGATGGTATAGTAAGATGGAAAGTAAAATAGAGTGGTTATCAGGAAAGCTAAATTTTAATTACAGCTCCAATATTTAGCTGTGAGACTGAAAAAGCCACTCAACTGAGCCCCAGTTTTCTCATTTGTAAGCATCCCATCTGTGGGGAAGTTGAGGTTCCTATGGCCACGATCCTCACCGAACTTAAACCACCTGATGATGTAACTGGCCTGTTGCTGGGCTACTGCTTCCACACCCTTAGGCAATAAGCTATTATTGCGCTCTATAGAGAGCTCGGCCCAGTGCTCTGGGCGGAGGCAGAAACACTAGTGTTCGACCTACCGCAGGGAGAACAACCTGGGTAATAAACCCTTTCACCCCAAAGAACGTCTTGCTGTCAATTTGTTTGGTCACATTGAATCCATAGCGAACTTGCCTGGGGCTGAAACCCACTGGCAAGACACATCTCTCCAATACTGTATTTCTAAAATGAGAAGTTAATCCCAGAGTTTGGGTAAGCAGAAAACAAAGCTACCCCATGGGCAAGATTTTTGGTAAGGAAATTACTCATTAACCAAAAGAAAGGAAACAATACTGTATCAAGAAAATACAAATAGCCAGTAAACCTGTGAAAAGATGCTAGCCTCACTAGTAGTTAGGGAAGTGCAAATTAATGAGGTATAGATTTGTATCCCTCCATTTGGCAAAATTAAGGAGATCATAATTTCTTGACTCCTCCCTCACACCCTATTTCTAAGCAACTGTTGTTGGCTCTACTTTCAAAGTATCCAGAATCTAACCACTTCTGTCCACCTCAGTGTTGCTGCCCAGGCCCAAGCCACTATTCTCTCTCAACTGGATTATTGCAATAACCTCTTGACTCCTTCCTCGCTTGTCCCCACATACTACCTCCACAGTTTATTCTTAACATCCCAGCCAGAGGGAAGCTGTTAACACCTAAAGCAGATCATGTCACTCTTGTTCTCAAAACTCTCTTCACTCTAGGTCCTTTTTGTTGCCTACAAGTCCCTCCGCAATCTGGCCCATTTCCTCTTGATCCTCATACCCCCTCTGTTCAAGCTGCACTGGCCTTGATGCACCTCTAAACAAACCGCATTTCTGCCCCCAGCCTTTGCCCAGAACCCTCTCCTTCGCAAGAGTCACACTCACCTCATTCAAGGAAGGAACAAATATCGCCTGAGTGAAGCATTCCATGACTACCCTTCACGATCTCAGTCCCACTGGCATTTCTAGTTTCCTTTATCATACTCAATTTTCTTGTAGCGCTTATGACATAAAATTCCACATAGTTTCCTAAATAAGGAAATAATACTTTTTAAGAAGATATGATAAATGATAGATTGTTCATTGTTTCCCTCCATTAGACTAAGTGCCACAAGGCAGAGATGTGCCCTATTCTAGAACAGTGCTTGGCTCATAGTAGTTACTCAGTGTATATTTCAGTGAATTGCTATCCAGTGTTTATGGGATGTGTGGAAATGGGCACTCACACTACTGTGAGAATGAAATTGATAAAGCTATTAATTATGAGTGTTTTGGTTAAA